GTTATCGAGCTGCGACTCGACTAGATCTAGGGTTTTATGTTTGTAACTCGCTGATGGCCCCTGCGGCCAAAGCCTTTGTAATTCCTTGTAATGATCGCAACGCTCTTACGCGAATCGGAAATAAGATCGACTTTCTTTATAAATTCGTTTTACTATGTTTTTCATATTTTTCCGCATTTATTTGGTTACTTGTCGTTGGGTTTCGCAGAGATCCGGTTCCTCTGGAAAATTAGGGTTTTCCTAAGTTTCCTTATTTAACGGAAATCGACAAGTGTGAATTTCGGTTCCAAAAGCGAGTTCGTCTAGGAACTGAGCGCCAGTCATAGAAACCGAACATGTCTAGAAAAAAGCCTAAGTTTCTAAGTGCGGAAAATTCTAAGTCTAGAAACGTTGTAAAAGTCTCAGATGAGAGCTCTGAAATTCGTCCCCCACTTCTTTCTTATGCCTCTTGCTTATATACTCCCTTCCTTGGCGGTTTGGTCCTTCCATTTCGCCCAGATTCTAGTTTATCGGGAATCTTCCATTTATCTTTATCTTTCTTTTTTTCCCGTGGAAATCTTCTATTTATCTTCAAACTTGACAATCATCTTCAAGTTTGACATTTTTCTTTTTTCTGCGAGTAAATCATTAAAACTTCTTCGCATCTTCGGGTTAGACTTCGTTAAAGTCGCGAGATAGGCTTTTATCTCGTTTTTAGGAACTCTCGAGCCGTTTTGCGACAAAACCGTTTTACGACTTTTAGACGAGGTCGCTTCCTGATGCGATGCCGTTTTTAAATAAGTTTCTCGAGTTAATTGTAAAGTTTGGCAATGTTTGATGTCTCGGTTAATCGGTGCCGTTTTCTACGATTTACTCGAGGTTTTATTTAAAACGCGTTTTTACGATTTCTCATGAAAAATCTCGAGTAAATCGTATAGTTAGGCAATGTTTGGTGTTTCGTTTAACCGTTGCCGTTTTATACGATTTCCTCGAGTTCTTTTAAGAAAACAAGACTTTTACGGTTTTTATCGTAGAACTCAAACTATGGGACGGATCGGGACGAAACGAGAGATATTTCGACCGTGGTTTGGAGCACAATCGTTCCGAAGGACGTAAGCCTTGAATCGAGGACGTGGGAGATCGAGGTTCGGGATGGGACTAGCTCGCCGTTTGGCGAGCTAGTCGTGATGGGACTAGCTCCCGTGTTTCGGTGGTTATGGTTTTTCGCGGTTTTGTGCTTAACTCGGACGATCGTGTAATCGACGTTTGTTTCGTTCTTCCGAGATAATTATTTTCGAGTTTTTCCGCGGATTTCCTTTGTTCGGAAATTTCTTTTGAATCTTATAAAACGATTTCTCGAGTTTTATAAAACGATTTCCCGAGTTTTATAAAACGATTTCTCGAGTTTTATAAAACGATTTCCCGAGTTTTATAAAACGATTTCTCGAGTTTTATAAAACGATTTCTAGAGTTTTATAAAACGATTTCTAGAGTTTTATAAAATGATTTCTCGAGTTTCAGAAAACGATTTCTCAAGTTTTATAAAACGATTTCTCGAGTTTTATAAAACGATTCGAGTTTTATAAAACTATTTCTCGTGTTTTATAGAACGACTTCACGAGTTTTATAAAACTTATTTTTATTTTTACTTTTACGGAGACTTTTAGCCATTGATTCCGTCGTGACTAATTTTGACACCAACACGCCGTTGCCTATTATTCTTCCGGTTTTTCTCAGGACGGTCGTACTGAGGTCGAGGCGGATGACGGCAGGGAGGAAAGGGAAAGGTCCAGATCTCCACAGGACAGAGAAGTTCCGATTAGTCGAGGTCGAGCGTTCAATGATGATGTTAATATCGAAGACCTTATTGACTATTCGGCCTCCGAATTTGATCCGGCCGAGAAATCATCCTGAGCACTGGCCGACACACTGTTTGCAAAGGCGTCGAGGCTTTTTAACTAGGTCTGTTTGTTTTGCTTTATCTTGGTATTACATGCGGTCGCCTCTTTTATTATTTTTTTTATAAAGGAGGATTTTCCACGTTTTGCAGGGTCTTCGCTTTTTGAACAAAACGGTGAGTGCAAGTAGCGCGGAACTTCGCAAGGACGAATCTAGGGCTGCAGCAGCGGAGACGGAGGCTGCTCGTCTCAAAGAAGAGATCGGTGCCAATTTTTCTCGTGCCAAGGACCTAGCCATAAGAGGCCCCTCGTGTGAGGGAGGAGTATGAAGCTAAATCTCGTCGAAGCTTAGAGCTTTCTGACACGATGGTCGTCGTGCTCGTAGAGCAGGCAAAAGAGAGGTTGCTGCGGAGTTGATGGCTCGCTGCGAGCGGTTCATGCCTCTTTATGCGGAGTTTGAGGATGCGCAAAGGGCGAATGGCGATTTCCGCGAGTGCTGGGGTGTTTTTGGCGGTTTGCATCTTACCCAGGACCCAGACTACTCGTATTAGGTTGCAATTGCGAAGAAGAAAGCGCGTCTAGCTAAGAGAGAGAAGAAGAAATCCGAATTTGCTAATCCCGGGAAGCAGATGTGGGATCAGTAGAGCTCTATTGCCGTGTCTTCAGATTCAATTGAAATCGGACCTGGGATCCCGGACGTGAATGGCGAAGTCGACCAGCCATGGGTTGATACCAGCGATGGCCAGGGGTCAGCGTCTGTATTTGATGATTTCGAGGTGTGATGTTATTGCTTTTATGATTTCGTTGTTTTTCCAGGACTGGCCGTTGGTGGCTTTGAATCTCTGCCGCTGGGCGGTGTGTATTTCAAAGCCTTTTAATAAAAAAGTATTTTCTAAGTATGAAATCTGTGTTTCGTTTCAGATGTAGAGGGAAGAATACGAGTTGTCGTCTCGCATCTAACTCTTGGTGTAAATCGTCCGGTTCGTTAACTCGGAATGTTTTGGTTTTCGCGAGTGTTTAGATGTGGGCGAAGAGACATGCCTTTATGATCTCGATTCATGCCTTGAGACGTTAGAGACCAGTGTGCTGGGTTGAGGCTATGCGATGACTAGTCGGGTTTCGTTTTGCCTGTTGTGATTTTAACCTGATTCCATACCGATTTAGAATCCGCGATAGGTTCTCGGCTTATACGAGTCGTATGGTTGGAATCGAGCATCTCACCGGGAACAATTTCTAAGTTGCCCAGAAGTGTTGACCAAAAATTTGGATTTATTTTATAGCGCGTTATTTTATACTAGTCGGATGTATGTTACATTTGATAATCTTCATAATCTTATCAACAATATGAAATATAATTAATTTCAACAATGCATAATTTAAAGATTTTAAGTAGCATATCTACACAAGATACTATCACAATTATTATGCATTACTGATGTTTTGATTTTAAATGTCTTGCCACACCCTATAAATATTCTACATCATTTGGTTGAATCAATCACCCTTAAAAATTCAGAATTGTGAAAAGGTAAGTGACTATAATCTCGAGTCAAATATTCTTTGTATACACTTATGAAGGATCAGGAAATGTTCCCAGATGAGAAAATATGAATAAATACATACTTTCAAACATTTTAAGAAGCTCGACGTATTAGACGTTATCATGGCAGCATCACGAGTGTGCATCACATGGTTCCTTGCCTCTCACAACAAAACTATATGGAACACCATCAAACTTAACGATCTTGATTCAATAATTTTGGATAACCCTTTCTGCCCTAATCTGCAGGCTAGTGGTAGTCGATATTAGCTGAGGAAGATCTTAATTGAGATCAACAAATTCGCCCGTACTGCCCCGAAATCTTTTTTTTTCAACGTATATTGCAATGTAGCAGAAGAGGAGCTTGCAATCATTTCTAATGGGTACTCAAAACTATGTTAATTAGTACTCACTTTTGAGCTATCTTTACATAGGATAGAAATCTGATATACTAAATCTTCTTCTCACTTTTTTTTTCTGAAGGATGCCGAACATTCAAAAACTTGCTTTACCAATGTGGACATCACTAAATATAAATTCAATTCAGTCAGCCTTTAGTAAATGGAAAAATCTTCAAACGTTGATTATACACCCTTTTATGTCAATGACGGTACGTGAATTCTCCAGCGTTGAGCTTCAAGCCATCGGAGAAAACTGTAGAAATCTTACAACCGTGAAATTTACTACTATGTTGGACAAACCTCTCGCCAATATAATTGTACGCAATTTTCCGAGCCTCGAGCGATTGAGCTTTCGATACAGTGATGCATGTATAGATGCATCAAAATCGCTCATCATTGGTCTTCCAAACCTAAAGATGTTTAATCTTTCACATTGTATTTTTATGCAAAATATCGGAATTGGTAATTCGTATAGAATATTAGGAATGAGACCTAAGGACGAACTTGTAAAAGCCGGCACTGAGAAGCTTGACAGGTTTATGGTGTGTTGTTCGGACTGCACAATTTGCCAGGACGTATAGAGACATGCGAATGATCCAAACTGTTACGCGCTCAGGTTTCGTTATGTTCTGGAAGAACGGTGGAAAACAGATGAGATAAAGGAACTAGAGTTATGAACCTATGAAAACAAGATTTTTATAAATTTTATACTGTTATTGCTAAAGATAAATTATGTAAGATCTTATATTATATAAATTATACTATGTAATACTTTATACTTATTCAATGATAATTACTTTAAGTGCCGTCCTTAATAATTGAGAGGCTTAATCACTACAAGAAAACACCGCGATTCTGACAGAAACAATCGTCGGAATGTCGTCGGAATAAGGGAATTCCGAGGACATATCGACGAATAAGGTCGTCGGAATTTCACTTCCTTGAAATTTTCTTAGAACATTCCGAGGAACTCCCGAGGACGTAATTTCCGAAGATATTCCGAAAACTGTATCGTAGGAAAGTATCATCGAAAAAGCCTCAGATATTTCCGATGGAAGGGTCCTCGGAATGATCAAAATATTCTGACGATTTATTTCGTCAGAAATTCCCGAGGAACCACAGTCCTCGGAATATTCCGAGGACCTGTTCTGTTGGAAATTTCCGAGGAAGTGTATCCCTCGAAAATTTCTGAGGAATGCTGTTCCTCGGAAACTCTCGAGGACGTCAGCTCCTCGGAAATTTCAGACGACAGGTTTCCTTTGAAAATTCCAAGGGATTCACTTCCTCGGAATATTCGTAAAATTAATTTTTTTTAACAAAAATTATAAATTAATTGTTTATAATTAAAATTCAAAAATATAAAATAAAATTTGAAACTGAACATACATTAGATAAATTCAGATTTGTTCAAATAAAAAACATTCAGAGTTTTAGAAAAAAAAACTACGGGAATTGCTCGTTCGGGTACATCCGCCTCATCATCTCCATCATGCGCTCGTTCTGTCTCCTCGATTCTTCCCATCCTTTCTCTTGTTCCGCCATCTTCGCCTCCAACGCAGCTATGCGGTCATCCTTGTCCTCAAGCTGCTCCATAACCATTGGATCGATAGGCGGTTGTGATCTAGGAGGAACTGATTTAGATCGACGACCCAAACCGATCAAACGTCCCTTCTTCTTTGGAACCGACTGCAAGAGAAAATAAACAGATTTTAGCAACAGAAAATCTTATAAAATACAAATAAAGAAATAAATGAATTGAATTTTGTATAAAAACATTCTTACCGATTCAACAATCTCGTTGATTCGTTCTCGGGATAGGGAGACCAAAGCTGTCAAAGTGGAGTCGAGCTCGGTTTGAAGCTGGGATAGACGAAGCTCTTCGTCGTCCTTGAGAGTGGTGATCATGTCAACCACCTCCTTGATAAGACCATCATCAATCTCCCCGGTATGCTTGTTGGTATGCGCCCGCTTCAACAGTTTGAAAGCATCAACCGGCTCGCCATCATTTTTTTCCGCCTAGAAAAAATATAAGTTAAAAAAAACAATAGAAATCAGAATAAATGCATAAAAATAAAATAACAATACTTAAATAATTGAAAAAAAGAGATTGAAGTTACCATTTTATCTCCGAGAGTGGCAATACTCATGGCACCCAAGTTGTGCTTGGCCACGCCCTTCCCGCCACGTTCGCTTCTGCGGTTAGTGGAGTTGGTGGTGGAGATTACTTCCGTCCTGTCTTTCTGCCAATCTTCACACAACTCCTTCCAGACCGTGTCGTTTATCAACTTCAGGACCTTTTAATAAATAACAAAATATGAAATTGTTAAATAAATTAAAAAATAGATTAATAAATTAAATATTAATCTAGTAAATTTTAAAATAGATTAATAAACCGATACCTTATGAATTAAATACTATAATACACTTTTGTTAATTTTAAATATACAAATTAACATTATTTTGTCCTATATTTTAATATTTACGCAAAGAATCGACTTAATTAGACTTCATACTTTCACAAATTGCAATTAAACCCATCAACCAAATGTTTTTTACACGTATAAGACTTAAGTCGCAGAATGACTAAAACGTTTACACCAAGAATGTAAAGGTTTGATTCATACGTTTTGCCACACAGCTTCCAAATTCCAATAGTTTTACCCATAAACCAAACGTTTACAGCACCGATTCTCAAGCAGCACCTAGTAAAGATAAAAAACATTAAACCATATCGTTAAAGAATTAAATATCTTATATAAATTCAAGTCGTTCTATCTATTATATTAAAAGAGAAGTCATGATTCATTTCATGTGTGATTTTATCTATTTGGACCATTAGCAAAAAAAGATTTGTTAACTATATTTCATTTCTTTGTAACCACTTCAATCATAATATGTTTGATATCTTTTTGTTTTAATATAAATATGTATTAATTCTTTTTTTAAAATCTGTTGAAAATATTTTAGCAAGATCTTAACTTTAAAAACATTATATAAATATTTCACTAATTAATAACTTGAATAAAATTTCGAATTAGTATTGAAAATAATTATACATTAATATATATATATATATATATATATATATGAATATGAAAACAGATTTTATTCATTTTATCTATTTAATAATCATAAACTATCAAATTAAATGAAATTATTATAATAAAGTGAATGTTATAAAATTATATTAAATTGATAAATTAATCAGTTTTGTTTTCATAAATAGAAAATATTAATGTTAAAAATATATAATATATTGGCAGAACGGATTAACATTAGTAAATATAAATACATGTATAAAATTAACATATTTAAACTTTTATAATATCGTATTATCTTTATAAACATAAAAAGTTTAATAAACGGTAATCTAACTTTGAAACTCAAATAATAATTTAGTATAAATTATATATAAAATAATATGATTTTTCATGCATATATTAATTTTAATAATTAAATATAAAGCCAATTAGATAAATATATAATAAGAAAAAATTGATATTAACGTACAAGCTATAAAACTATTATGTTTGTAATAGTTATATAAACATTTAAACATATGACTAACGTTATTAATGATATAAAACAAATATATATATATATGAAAACAAAACCTGCACGGTTGCGCAGGTCCAAATCTAGTAATGCTTAATTACTGATAATGTCGGGTATGTTGAGGCCATTAGAGAAACGTCCGGTGGGTCGACGGAACGGGTAATTGATATCATACGGGTAATTATCAGCGCGAGCAGTGGTGAAAAGGTAATCATTGTTTCTATTGTCAACGAGAGAGTCACCAAAGACGTAGAAAGCCCTAGATTCGACTTGTGGTGCAAGAAACGTAACAATGAAGAAGAGTGAAATGAGAACCCAAGTGGAGAGATTTGTAAATCTGAACCTTCATTCTAATGATATTTACCTTTTAGCAAAAAATGAAAAGAAAGAAACCCTAGAGGAGAGTGATTAATTTCCAATAAATAATAATATATTTTCTTTTAAAATCTTGCAAAATACTAAAATAATAAATGTTAAAGTATCATTTTTAAACATAACATGAAAATAAAAATTATAGTTAACAAATATTTATCTATAGTATATGTAAATAAATCTTTAAATGTATTGTATGCAAATTGCAGAAAATAAAACTCTATATTTAAGAAGATTATATATTTGATTATTCAGATTATAATTTATGTATCAAACTCAAAAAATATATTAGTAAGTAATAACAATCAATAGGAATATACATTAAAATATATAAAAAATTTACTATATATTAATTATAAAGAGTAAGAAACTTAAACAACAAAATTATAGAGTTATATAATATATAACATTAAATGTAAATCATATATTTAATTTTTTCATAATAATATAAAAGTGTTATATTTAAAAAATGAAAAATCTGTGTGGATCAAACTCTAGTATATAGTTTTGTTATTTAGGATTTAGGAATATATAGTGCCATCTAGATAACTTTTAATATCTTAAACAAAAACATTTTTCTATCAAATAAAAGATAAATATATGGGGTAATAATATGGAGATATAATTTAAATAGATGCCAAATAAAATTTGTTAGATTTACTTCATTTGTATTTCAAATAGAAAGATAAAGATATTTAAAGATATTATCATTAAATTATGTTACATTTGATAATCTTCATAATCTTATCAACAATATGAAATATAATTAATTTCAACAATGCATAATTTAAAGATTTTAAGTAGCATATCTACACAAGATACTATCACAATTATTATGCATTACTGATGTTTTGATTTTAAATGTCTTGCCACACCCTATAAATATTCTACATCATTTGGTTGAATCAATCACCCTTAAAAATTCAGAATTGTGAAAAAGTAAGTGACTATAATATCGAGTCAAATATCTTTATCTTTCTATTTGAAATACAACTGAAGTATGTATCTTTAAATATCTTTATCTTTCTAAGTGATATGTCGACAGAACCGCCTTCATGGAATTTATCCAAGGCGTGCCCATGATCGCATTGTAGATGGCCGGGAAATCGACTACCGCGAAGTTGACAATTTTCGTCAATTCTTTGGCTGCCACCGGTAGTCGGATTGATCTTAAGGTCATGGATGTCTCGCCGTAAAAGCTGGTCAACGGTTTCGGAATCGGTTCGACTTCTGAGAGTTCTATTCCCATGCGTGCTAACGTGTTGCGGAAGATCACGTTGACGGTATTTCCAGTGTCGACCAGGATTCGAGCGACTTCTAGGTCGCTTATCACTAAGTCGATGACAAGGGGATCGGCATGTGGTTGATCGATTCCGCCGGTTTCAGCGTCGTCGAATGAGATCACCCCCTTTGGAGTGTCATCCGTCGGCATCTTCCAACTCGGGGAGATCGCGAATCTCGGTCAGGTCGCCAGCAGTTTTCCGACCTCGTCGGCGTTTGCTGTGAGTAACCGGAGATCGCTCGTCGGCGGTTTTTGCGTATCGCGCAAAGTAAAGTTCCTCCTCGTCTCAAGTAAGAGAACGCTCAGGAGAAGACTCTGGCGGAGGG